GATATGGGTAATAGTGATATGGGTAATAGTGATATGGGTAGTTTACACGCACTCATACACGGGTCATGATATCTTTTAAGAATTGCAAGGCTTCCACGAATTAATATTATAATGACTTTAAAAATACTTATAACCATTCCTGTAGATTGGCACACACCTTAAATGGATAAAATCATCAGACGTTTTGATATTCAAACATTACAATATTTAAATGCATTCTAATAATTTTTAATCTAATTTAGTTCCAGTAAGCTCATTCAAAGAAATCCGAGAGGGTACTATGTCCGATGCATTTTCTCAGTGTAACGAAGTCTATCCKGAAGAACGATGTTTTTCTATCATTCATGGGGATTCGTTCGTCRCCCTCGACCTCGTGTCTTCGACTCGCGAAGAAAGCGTTCATTGGTTGATTGGATTACGGTATCTGATGGCTAAGCTTTCTGGTAATTTTGATTTTAGTCTGTCTTCATCAATGCTCCTCGTGCCATCTTGAAAGGTCCACGTGATAATAGGCCTAATCGGCTAACGGCGTTGCTATGTACGTTGCCAACCAATTCAAATCCTGTGGGAAAAAGAACATTTGTTTCTGAGAATTCAACTGTGAAATGAAAATACGAACAATGAAACTTACTCCCGGATGGTTTGAGCTGGGTTGAAGCCGATTAGGTCTTTTGGCGCCATTTCTCCCATAGGAAACATGCTATCTTTTTAAACCAGTCAGGAAAGCAACTTTCAAGAAGCAAAACAAACAACCGCGGGTTGTAAATGGGATATCTACAGACAATCAGTTTCACAGGTTTATATAAACCATTGCACGTTTACAGGATGATTTGTTGATACAGTTGTTTTGAACTGTTACGCTTCTTTCAAGATGGCGCAAGGAACAATGAATGAGATCTTGAGGTTTCATATTTATTGAGAGCTATATATTGTTAGCTGCCTTCCCAGGCAACGCTTTKTTCCTCTTTTAGGCTTCCTTTGTAACTGTCATCTTGGCCGATAGGTAGAACGCGGAGAAAGGAAAACAAGAAAAGGATACGCCTCCCCTCTCTCGCTCCCATTCTCCCTCTTTTGACTCCCAAAAAAGACAGGAAGCCCGTGATTCTTAGTGATGTCTGCGGAGGAGTCTAATACGTTGTTTTGTTTAAATTTATTTGTGTTTGCTGGTCGAATGTGTTGTCCCTTGTATCAACGTTGATTATTGAAGGATTTTTGTTGCTGACTTCTTTTGACTCTAGGTGAAGACGAGCATGCGCAAAGACAGAGAGCAAGAGATCAGTATCCTTTTGACAGTCAAAAATGTCAGTCAGAAAGAAAACTGTCAGTCAAAACTGTCAGTCAGTAAGAAAACTGTCAGTCAAAACTGCCAGTCAAAACTGTCAGTCAGAAAGAAAACTGTCAGTCAAAACTGCCAGTCAAAACTGTCAGTCTCAAAAGAAACTGCTGCGGAATAAGATAAATTACACCGAAAAACGTAGGTGAAAGAACTTATTAYTGTTTCGGACGTTGCTCCTTCGTCGTCGAAACATCAGTAAGTTGTTTTACCCAGAGCTGTATCCAGAATCTTGCAGAATTGCTTATTAGTCGTACGTGTAAACTTGGACCAAAGAGTGAGAACGCTTATTCGTTTTTAGATACGGACACGGCAAAGAATCGATGGGAAAAGAAGAATTGCTGAATTTTCTCACAACAGAACAAGGGGTAAGGAACGAAATGTATTGAACAATGCGCACACACAAAAACAATGACAATARTCCAAACTAATTCAGATAAAAGCGAAGGAGATTTCAAGTGCCCAAGCACTACTCGAATTATATCAGCGATAGTATTTTAAAACMCATATCAGTGAATGTGCAGCATAGCTAATGTGGTAGGTCTTAGAGGAATTATCAYGTCAAGCACTTCCAAAGCTGCAGCATGCAAAACCAATTTTTTAGAAACGAGAAAGTGAGTGCTCATTTTCTGTCGAAGAACGTTGAATATTGTATTGCAGCATTGTAGCATCATTGCACATTCATTCCTGTTATTTGACTTTTCACACAACATTTTCGCAAAGTTCAATATTCAATTCACTWTTTCAGATTAAAGAGGTCGACATGGATTATTGTAAAAATATCATAGAAAAACATGARCCATCGGAAAGTAATCGAGAGAACGAGTTACTTGGAATCGACGGTGAGTACCAGTACAACAATAGTATCTATTTAAAGTTTAATTCCAAAAGATATTGACGCCCAGCATGCAATTACTAACGATTTATCAATAAAACAGACGTAATTGAACCTGTATTCAACTTCGCTTTCCACCTCAAGTCATCGCCGCCATATTGGGTGACGATAACAAAGCATTMCTCGTTAGTTTCGCTTGTTCAGCCGTCCAACATGGTGCTTTATTCTTTAAATCTCGAGGGATTCTTGATGATGTGGTTGAAACCCAAGAATAGATTCGTATATGATTTGATCTTTTGCCCAGAGAGCCGTCGTAGTTTTCTAATCCTATCAAAGACCAATCATTTGGCCATTGACATAAAATGAACATTCCGAATATTCTTATGATATTTTTAAAATATTAGTAGACGCGCGAGCTCTGATTTCGTAGTTTGTACTTCATATTTACGTGTTGTCCAMCATTTTGGATGAAGATAGTAGCTCCTTTATTAGTTTCTGTTGCTCAATAATCCAAYATGAGTGGCGGCGATAATCAAGTTACTCAAATGAAATGAAACTGAAATGAAACTGCAATGTGGTAGTCAAGATAACTTGTATATCAATTGAGTGTTGATATTTCAGTACTTTTGCAAGATATTATGAGAACTTACGAATTATAAAAACACTTTCGTTTCTTCKTAGGTTTTACGAATTATCTTCTGAGTGCTGATGGAGAAATCTTTAATCCCCGTCATAGAAGTGTTTATCAAGATATGTCAAAGCCCTTGACTCACTACTTCATTGCCTCCTCGCATAATACGTAAGGATACAATGTGTTTGACATTATGTCTTCCTCTGACATCCCTTTTGTATAAGTCTGTCTGTCCATCTTTCGCACTATGTGTCAGACGAACAAAAATTCCAATTGTCCAGGTAAAGTACCATGATTTTTTTAAAGTGACATATCAAACAATTGCTAACATTCGCGCGGGCTACCTGTGTCTTTTGTKGGAYTCCTYATTTTCAAGGWTGGGAGGGGACTAGGACAAAATTATAATGGCCGACATGTTGAAAAGCGATTTCTCTGCAAATTCTGTAAGTTTTAGCCATTTTAAAGCACTAAAAGGTGGAAAAAACTTGAAAAAAACTTTCTATCGTACTTCCTTATAAGGTAAGATTGCCATATATAGTCAGCAAAAGTTTGGCAAACGAATGAATGTTTCTCTGAGGCAATTGTTTGATATGGACCATGTGACCTGCCAATCAACCTGTTAAGTTTCGATGGTTGTTTTTAACGTGGTATACTACTCCTGCAAGCGGGAACCAACTGCGTAAGACGGAATGACAGAACGTATGACAGAAAAGGGACGACGAGTGCAGAAAGACAATAGTATTTCACGATTGTTTGAGCTATATGCACAGATCTTCGTTGTGATTCTTTTGTGTTTGACTACTGAGACTTATCAATTTTACGCCAGTGACGTGAAGTTGGGATCGGAGAGTACAAAATCAAAGAATCGGTCGCAGCGCCAAAGAACATTGCCGGTAATTGGTTGGCTTAACACAGAGTAGCATAAACAATAGAGCCTATTGTTCTAGCCAACCAATCACAACGACTTTTATTTAGAACTGCACCTCTGATACTGTTCTGTCATTCCGTCTTACCACATGCCTTTGTGCCAATGTTACGCAGTTAGCTCCAGTATGAGTAGTATACTCCGTTGAAAATAATCATCCAAAAATTAAATTTGTTTTGAAAATACTCCATTTTACAGTTCCGGCGCCATCTTGAAAGGTAACCGAGCCTTACAATAAACGAGGCAGTAGT